CCTTCCCCTTGCCCCTTAGGACGGCCTGATAATCAGGCTACTATCCAGTCATGATATCATTAATTTTTGAAAGACAAACCCAATAAACGACGCCTCCGTGAAAGTAAAGCATAAGCGCACCGCATTAAACGCAAAAAATTCAAGTTATTTGCTTTCTCTAAAAGCCAAGAATCGCTTCTTTTTTTCAACAAGAAAAAAATCCAAATATAGTTAGATATCATGCTTATCTTTTCCTTTAGGATCACTCTATCTATTTATCTTCATGCTGGGTAGGCGATATAACAAAGGAAGCTCTTAGCTTATCAAAAATATTAGAATGTTGCTCAACCCAGGGAACCCTTCTGGAAATAACTCTTTTACTTAGTTCACAGCCAAGGTGATACATTAACTTTCTTCACAAGAGCCGAATTAAATTTGAAGGCCGACCCAACGGTTTAGAAAGGCTGAATTGATTCAGACGCCGATCTTTACCCCAGCTATACTATGGCCCTACCCTGGGTACCAGAGGTTTTTCTCGCGTGCGGCGGGAATTTTCGGTGTTGGCCGAAGGCCGAAGCCACGAGCAGCGAAGCTGTCTACAAGAATCCGAAGATTTTTTGAAAACACATATTCTGTAATAATAATAATGATTATATTCCGCCAAATGTTTATGACCTCATAGACGAAGAATCGATCAACAACTCGGCAAGTAAAACCAAGGGCTCAGCCGGACCATCTGGAATGGATGCAGAGCTGTATAAGAGAATCCTGTGCTCTAAGAATTTCAAGACCGAGGGCAAAATATTGAGAGAAGAGCTAGCCGTGTTCACAAGAAATTTGCTAAAGAAATCGTACCACCCATCCTTACTTGAAGCTTTCGCGTCCTGCAGGCTTATCCCGCTGGATAAGAACCCGGGAATCAGACCAATTGGTGTTGGAGAGGTACTGAGGAGAATAGTGGGGAAAACGGTCAGCGGTTTCTTAAAGGAGGAAATAAAAGGAGCGGCGGGTCCCCTACAAGTTTGCGCTGGTCATAACGCAGGAGCGGAGGCTGCGATCCATGCAATGAGTCAAGTGTTTGTTGAAGAAGGAACAGATGGAATATTGCTAATTGATGCTAGTAACGCTTTTAACCAAATGAATAGGTCAGCGGCCTTACACAATATCCAGATCATGTGCAAAGAAATGGCGCTCTATGTGATTAACACATATAGAAGCCCATCTAGACTGTTTATTTGTGGGGGAGGTGAAATACTTTCTCGAGAAGGCACCACACAAGGAGATCCGCTAGCGATGCCATGGTATGCACTTAATACATCCATAATGATACAGAATTTGAGGGATCATTGCCCATTGGTTAAACAGGTGTGGCTTGCAGACGACTCAGCTGGAGGAGGGAGTATAGTGCACTTATACAACTGGTACAGGCAATTGAGTAAGGAAGGACAAAAGTTTGGTTACCTTGTGAATGGGACAAAGAGCTGGCTTATTGTGAAGTCTAGGGAACTAGCGGAGGAAGCAAAGAGGGTGTTTGGAGAGGAAGTCAACATAACGACTGAAGGTCAGCGCCATCTGGGAGCAGTTATTGCGTCGCAAGAATACAAAGATCAGTATTGTGAGGAGAAGGTTCGTGCATGGAAAGAGGAAATCGAACGTCTCTCTGAAATAGCGAAGAGCCAGCCCCATGCGGCGTATATTGCTTTCACAAAAGGCTACAAGTCGAAGTTCACCTACTTCATGCGCACGATTGAATCGTTTGAAGATTATGTCGATCCAATCCAGGAAGTGATTGAAGATTTACTACTCCCTACTTTGTTCGGTCAATCAGAGCCTCTCCCTAACGAGGTGCGCAGACTTGCTACCTTAGCAACGGGTCAAGGGGGTCTAGGCATTCCTGATCTGAAATCCGAGGCACCGCAGCAGTTTGCTGCCTCGAGACTAATAACCACCGCCCACGTAGATTCTATTACATCACAGAGTTCCATCATGGTGCCAGGAGAAAGATCTACGGAGGAGCTAAAGAGGCATCAACAATCACTTAAGAGAGCAAGTGCCAAAGAGAAAATGGATAGCATTGATTCAAGCCTCTCCCCAGGCCTGCTGCGTCTGGTTAATCAATCGAGGGACAAGGGCGCAAGTTCTTGGCTGAATGCGATGCCTCTCGCAGACAAAGGTTTAGCCCTCAACAAGCAAGAGTTCAGAGACTCGCTACGCTTGCGTTATGACTTACCCTTAGTCGATTTACCAAGTCATTGCATATGTGGGGATAAATTCACCGTTAGTCACGCCCTCTCTTGTAAAAAGGGGGGGTTTGTAGCGCAGAGACATGATGGTGTACGGAACTTGTTAACGACATTCATCGACAAGATCTGCAATAATGTCGAAATCGAACCACGCCTTCAACCCCTGGACAACGAGCGATTTCATTTGAGGAGCGCTGTTACAAGTTCTGAGGCAAGGTTGGACATCAAAGCGGGAGGTTTCTGGGCAAGAGGAGTTACGGCATTTTTTGATGTTAGAGTTACGCACGTCAACTCCAAGTGTTACCAGAGCAAGCCAACATCGGAAGTGTTCAAAGAGCAAGAAGAAGAGAAGAAGCGCAAGTACCAGCAGCGGGTGTTAGATGTAGAAATGGGTTCGTTTACGCCTTTAGTGTTTGGAACCAATGGCGGAATGGGAAACGAGTGTCAGCGGTTCTTAAAGCATCTCGCAGACAAGATAGCTCAGAAAGACACCGAGCCTTATCATGTTGTAATCACTTGGCTCAGGACACAGATCTCGTTTGAACTCTTAAGATCGGTACATGCATGCGTCAGAGGTTCGCGAACGCCGTTTCGTAGCAAGCTAGAGCAATCATTAGACTGTAAAATAAATGTCGCTAGTGCGGATATCTGAAATACGTGTCTATATGCTTTTATACTTAGGGCTTTTTATGGACACTGGTTTAGCCGTCATTAGTATAATTCGATTGCAGGATCTTAATATCTCTGCATAATAGAATTCTTAATTTTATAGAATTTTGAACTTTTATTATTAATTATATCTATTTCCTCTTCTTTTACGTAAGGTTAATTTACTTTTTTTTTTTAGAATTTGTAAATGAATAGTTTTTTCTATCTTCACTTATAATATATAGGATTGTTTTTGTTCTCTAATGAAGGACGAGGGGTTTCTTTTGTAACGGATCGAATTGTAGATAGTGTTTTTGATGAATTAATTAGATTTTTTGTATCAGCAGGTTGATTGTAAATAGGATTTTAATTGAGGTTTTGTAATAAAGATTCTTTTATTATTCTGTAATAATAATAATAATAATAATAATAATAATAATAATATAGATTCTTATTAAGCCCATTTCTATCCTCAATGCGCTTTCCATTATGAAAGCCGATTGAAGATCATTACATTTCTAGCCTATCGTGACATTATACATCAAGTATTGTAAAACTTTTAAAATCCTAATTGTAAAACTTTAAAAATCCTAAGACGTTAAGCATGAAAATCAATTGTAACATTACACATCAAGTATTGTAAAACTTTAAAAAAAAAAAATCCTAAAATGTTACGTTTGTAAAAACTTTAAAAAACCAACTTTTAAAAATTAAAAATCCTAAAATGAAAGGCATGAAAATCAATAATCAAGTATGGTAAAACTTAAAAAAAAACCTAAAATGTTAAGCATGAGAATCAATGAAACATTTCCTGAATAGAAATGTTTTAAGTTTTGTTTTTTGCATAATAGCGAAAGGGATGACGATCGTAGAGCTCTTGATGGATGATAATCCTTAATCAGAGGTTCCAGATATCCAGCAGATTGTCCATTTTAGATCTTATATGTGATAAGACGAATTTTAAAATGAATCCTTGCTTCCACAGGTAGCCAGTTCAGGCTCTTTAATAAAGAGGTGATGTGGTCAGAGCTGCGGGTTCCTTTAGCCGGATATTCGTGTGGATGAGGCCTTTAACTACGCTGGAGAGTGTTTTGAACAGATGTGGTTTCGGTGAGCGGATTCACTGTTTTCGCGTGGACGAAACTGGGCCGATTTGGGCGGTTTCATAAATATCTGGATTCGTGTGGACGTGACCTAAATTCAATGGAGGCAAATCAAAATGCGTAAAACCATATTCCACGGAAAATTGTACATTTGGTTCCCCTCATATGAACTTCGTCGTCTGAACCAACGCCGGTCTACAGCCGTTATTTCTGGCAGAGCCAAGTGTAAAGAACGGCTGAGCCGATCCAGACTCATTTAGCTGCTTCGTATCCGTACTTCTCATGAATTTAATCCATTGAATTCGATCATACGACGCCGGTGTGAACCGATCTTTAGACAAGTGCAGAGTTTTGTTGATTTTCACGGGCAAGTGTTCTTAACAAGAAAAATCGATTATAATTGTCGAAATTATTAGTGAAAGCCTTACGAAGAATTGCTGTGTCCTCACAAGTAGGAATGTGTCTGTCAACATCGTTTATCTTAAGGGCCGAGTATTTTGAATAGATTTTCTAATGTTAATGTTACGCTAAGCAGCTTTTCACACACAATCTTCATCACAAAGCAGTGAGCCAAAAAAAACTATTTAGGACTTGAAGTATCTCCCTGCAGTGTCGCCATAGCCTCCCGCGTAGACGTTCTTAGCGGTTCGTCAAGCGTTCCTGTCTCACTAACGTCTGTTGACTTGAGCAGCAAAAAACCTAGACCAATCACAGCACACTTCCAGATCTGGGTGGTGCACTTTGGACCTTGAAAAATTTCCCGCGAGACTCAGCTCCAGAACCGATCAGAAGGGTCTCGTAAGATTAACCCTAAGAACGTCTGCGTGGGGGGTTAGTGTTCCCATGGAACCGGTGGTGCCAAACATTATTTTCAGCTTCAATCTGTTTGGATCACTGAATTGTCTTGTTATTTAATTTGATTTATGGTTTGGGCTTGGGTTCACAAATTTCCTGCAGTAGTCTTCCCTCAAATCATTTGAAATGTCATTTGTAAAACAACACAGGTAAAATAAGTACTGTTTTAAATTTATGATTGATAAATAATCCATTCGACAGCTCTTTCAAACCCATTGAGCAATGAAACTCGGCGGCAGTTCAACATCCACTTGGCGGGAAAGACTCGATTTTGGCATCGAAGGAAATCACGTGCAACTAGCCCGTTGTAGTCAGCCACTGACTTCCATATGCGCCTGCAATTACGTTCATGAGGGAACTTAGAGACCAGCAAGGCCGCACGGAGGAATTGGATGAACTGGTCACTGTGGTCATGATACTCTACAAAAGACTGATAAGCTTCTGAATATGCAATGGCGGAATTTTTGGTATCTTCAAAAATTTTTTGGCGAAAGCTGTCATCTTTCGGCATGAAAAAGGCACGTACCATCAGCTCCTCCTTAACATTTACGTACCTTGGCCAATTTAAAAACTCTGTAATAATGACCGAGAAGGGATTACATAAGTTTAAGAGTGGCCTGTAGGTATCCAGGATGCTGGGCAGGGGAACATAATCTGCAATGTTGGAGGTTGTGACACGGTCATACTTGTGGTCTGGGGGAACAAACCTTGCAATCTCCATGCAGTTGCACAACAGAAAGTGAAACTTGACTCGCCCGGTGACAAGCTTTAAAGCGGATTGTTTAAGCACGTGATTCACATACTCGCTATACATTTTCAACAGTGACGGTGAGTGACTCCACTGGCGTACTTCATTGTAGTCCCAGCCTGCAAATGGAAGAATGGATGACTGAATTTTGTAAGAGAAAGCGCCCTTGTTGTGGTTTACTTGGAAGTCGGAACCCGTGAGTGTAAAATTTTCTCGAGAAAGCTTCTTTCGTGATTTTTCAGGCAGAAGAATCCCGTTGGCAAACCAATCAGATGCCGATGCTTTATGTTCCTTAGGAAGTTCTTCTACATAAAGTTCCATTCCCTCTCTATCATCAAAGTTCGTAAATCCCCTGTTCCGAGCCTCTGTTATCCAGTCTCCTTCGCGTGAACTGAGATTAAGCCAGGTGCGCCACACCTCAAGGAGTTTTTGAAACTGCCCCCGGTTCATCTGCATTGTTCCTTTTGTCAGTTCGTCAAGATTTGATGCCTCGATCAATTCTTGCAACATGGAGATCACAAGGCAATAGTCCTTATCGTTGAGCCGCAAGGAATACCAAATCTGTGTCACTGAACTTGCCACGTCTTCTCCTCCTGTGAAGTAAGCAAAAATACAAAATCAAAGTGAAATAGAACCAAATAGATTGGCCGTCATAAATCAGCTCAGTAAATCAATGAAATCAAGACCTTTAATTCACTTTGGTTATGTGGTAGCTGTAGTTTAGGGTAAGAAACCCAGTCTTTGACGCAACCGAATTGCATGCCGCGTAACGCTAAGAATTCAACGCAAATGTAATAAACAGATTAAAAGAAACCGGGCATAGCAATTTAGCTTGAAGTTACTGACAGAGATATCTTGAAGGACAACACTTACCCTTAAAAAGGATATAAAGTATTAGAACAGTCCTAGCGAGAGTACAGGCACAAATGTCGTTTAAAACGAAGGTCAACTCCTCTTCGTAAGTTTCCGGAAGGTTACACAACGACAGCAAAACATTTCTTGGATCGCCAACTCCGCAGGCAAGAACCGACAAAGGTTTGGAATAGCAACAGCCTTCGTTCAAGGGAAGATTGATGACGTCTGTAGCCGGGGTGTTTCCCCAGTAATACACACATCCTAACCCAGGAAACGTAGTGTTACTTAAAGTTTCCAACTTCTTAGACAATTCAGAGATCTTTGCTATAACCTGTTTGCAGGAAAGCTTGTGCGTCGGCCAAGATTTCTTCTGACATTCCTTATCACAGTACCACGCTTTACGACAGCCGCTACACGATTTCAATGCAGTCTTCTCCTGGTCACATCCAGAACACTTCCTCTTCAAACAAGCCGTCTGACAATCTACTTGATGACGAAACTCATCGCTACCTTTGCACTTCCTGGTACAATAATATGCTACACCGCATCTGTTACAGTAGATCTTGGTAGTCGGTGTCGAACATATAGTATCACAGCGCCAACACTGATCTCTCTTGAGCATTGTCGTTTTAAATTAGAATTGCTCGTAGCTGGGTCTGATCACTAAATAACGAATAGAAGTAACCACAAAAGCTCGGATACTGGAAATAATTCTAAATATATTTACATGCATTATATATAGTTATTCATTTGGTGAAACGCACGCAGGGAGGCATTCCGTAGAACTTTCCCAATTGTTTTACGGAATTTAAAACTAAACTGCGCGCTAGTGAACGTTGCTTTGAAAAAGTTTGCCTTGGTAAAACAAGAGTAGTGAGGAAAACAAACTTGAAAACAGTCCGAAAATTCGGCTTTTTCCTTACCCTTCTTGTGGAGAGTCTTAACGCAAATTCTCGGAAAACAAATGAAATTTCCTAGAATACCCCCCAAGAAAACCAGCTGAGAAACGAACAAAAAAGACAGCTGTCCATGGCTGCCACTGCCCAGGTGTTATGGTTGTCCGCATGCGTACACCTTAGGGTTTAGATTATTTGTTTCTCCCAATATAATTTTTGGGTGTATTAAAGAAAGTTCTAGTTTTTATGGGCTCTGAAATTTATTGTCGTTGTACGTATAATGCAGGTTAGGAAATATTTTGCAGATATATCACATGGTTTTGCCTGCCATCAATTCGAGATATTCTGAGAGATTATTAATTTGCTTAGTATTAAAATTATTCTTGCCGTTTTCTAACGTTAAGCGCCTCAAGTCTAAGCTTTTGAACTGTAAAATTCATCTTTGAAATGACCTTGGTTACGATTTTAACGATTCTGACCTAACTGGTTGTTTACAAAGCATTTTTTTTTTTCAAAAACTGGTGTTAATTCCCTTATATTAGCCTCTGGAACTTTCTATTGATTAATCTTCGAAATAAACAGCTGCTGATAGTTTTCAAATCCTTTGAGTGTATCCTGGGAGATACAGCTGCAGCTAATCAAAACTAGAATCTCTAGGGCCTGAAAATCGTTGCCTTTACTCTGGTTTTGTAAACGTTGAATAGTATTAGAAACAGTAAACGGCTCCTAACGGCAGAAGGACCGAAGACATGAGACAAAATAGAAGTTAAAACAATAGACCTATTCGACTAACTCAATGTTGTACCCAAATTCAAACCCTTTGGGAATATAACGTTTTGTTTCAGGAATTTCCATATCATTTAAATGTGAATGACACATTATAATACAAATACGATACACAAAGAATCTTAACCCCAGGAGATTTGAATTGGGTACAACACTGAGTTAGCTGAATAGGTCTATTGGTAAAATTTATTCAATCTCTCCATATATGGATTTGCATCACAAACCCCCTACGGGGTCTTGCAATGATTCCGCCCGGAAATTCCCGTCCTACCCCCGACTTTCCAAATCTTTCCAATAACACTTGTATTGAACTCCAATTTGAACGGAGGGGAAAATATAAACAAAACTAAAGCGTGAAATAAGATTAATATTCAGACTTCGTGGTCTGTGAAAAATTCTGCAAGCTCATTGGCTGATTGGAGCGAGTTAATGGTCTATGCCGACACAGGATTTTCTGGGTTCATGAATGCTCCCACTCAGTTACCTTTTCATAAACTGGTAATTGTATTTTATTAAATTTCGTCGCTATTAGGACATTCCGTTGTTGCTAATTAAGAATTTATTGCTTTTGCAAAGATGAGAACTCAGTTTTTCCACGAAAAAATGTTGAAAAGGTCCAATAATCAGGTTCTCTTGTTTGTGCTTTAATGAGAAATAAACTCCCAGCTGGTTGTAGAGTGAACTGAAAATTCTTCATACTGTACTTGGGCACGCCTCATGAAGTAATTAAATTTTCAGTTTAGTTCACAGCCAGTGCCTGCGTTATTTGCCAGTGCAGGAGCTCATATTGGTCTTTACCATTATTAAACATTTCCCGCCCCTTTAGACAATTTTTTTTTGTGATTGATTATTGGGAAAACTGGAGAAAGCAAGAAAGGTTTTGCACTTGGTCTCGTTTTAAAAGTGAGAGTTTTCGTAACTCGGAAATGGCCTATTCGCGCACGGACCTCTCTCGGCAAATGATCGGAAAAATATGCAAACAGCCTAAGGGTTTGATTTCCAAGGAAGTTTTTCCAGTTGAATTTTACAAAACATCAACCAAACGAGTAAAAACCATCGGGTGACATGAAATGCCAGTAAGATTGATCCGTTAAAATCTAAAGCCGACGTCATTTGGTAGCCGGCAAAAGGCAAAAAAGGAAAAGAGAGGGGTCAAGTATGTTGGTCGTGTCGCCTCTTCATTTAAATTTGAATTTAAGTACAAGTGAAGGGAGTAATGTGAGCCTTTTAATGGGTTTAACAATTAACCTTGAAATTGTCCGAAAAAAGGTGATTTTATGTGAGGTGTAGAAAATGAACGGAATTTAGCCGTAAATCGTGAAAAAGAGCCGACCACATCTATATTTACTGACCTCAATCTGTCAATTTGAACTGTATGTCACGATCGCCTTTAAGACTGTAAAGTGTCCTGTCTCATGCCTATTCTAAAATATCTATTACAAAGCTGGAATGACCCTGAAAGACTTATGAAATTTTCAATCACTTCTCAGATCCAAAACGCATCCCAGAATAAAACACCAATTCCCAGAATCCAAAAATAAGCCCCAGAATTTGGTTTCTGGAAAAGGTTTGGATAATGGGACACGTTTCTGGATTCTGGGAAGTGCTTTGGATTCTGAGAAGTGCATATTTTGTTCCTACGAGTCACCGTATTTAAACTGTTTTCAGCAGGAACCGTAAAGGAAAGGAAATAATCGTGACCCAAGTCCGTTTTCAGGCTAGAATAAATGAATGAATGAAAACTATATTCACGTGTCAAGGTATCTGGGAGGACACAGACTATCTACATACATAATAAGTATCCCTAATGAGAATATACATTCTTAAAATCTTCCTAACACTAAAATTATAAAACTTATTACATACACAAGAACTTTCTACAGTCGGATAACGACTGTACCGGGGACGTATAAATGTATCAGTTTACTAGTCCGGATAAGTCGACTTTCCTCGTATTTCTCTTGAAATAATTAAGACTTTTGTAAGTTCTCAGTTTTCCTGGTAACTTGCACAAGATAAGAGGCCCCAAGTATTTTACAGAGTGTCTACCATATCGAACAGTTTCGAATTTAGGTAGTTCGAAATCATTGTTCCTTTAGTTACACTGCGTGTTCTTTGCATTGAATAATTTAAAGATGTAAATAGGCGCGAGACCGTGCTTTACTTATACATCATAGAGGCTGCGTCCTGTAAACGTCTATTATACAGTGTCGGTAGCCGGGCGCGGTCAAGCAGTTCTTGATAAGATGCTGAGCTGTCGTTGTTTACTGCTCTTAGCGCTCTCTCCTATATACAACTTGACCTTTCTTCGATCTGATGATTTACAAAAGTGCCAGACTAAGTCACAGTATGTTAGATGGGGTAGGACTGACGACTTATATAATGATAGTTTAGCATTGCAAATGATTAAGTTGGGATAAGGGAAAAGAGGTGAGAAAGAGCATGAAGACGGTGAGAGAGAAAGGCGGGACGGTTACGTTACCCGTTAAAACCGCGCCCCGTTAACATCATTATACATTTAAAAATCTGTCCTAAGTTAACTTCTCAAGAAAAAAACATGAAACAATTACAGAAGAAGATGACGGTCTGGCTTTCTACTTCCTTGCTGTTATCAACATCTTGGACAATGCCCGACCAAATAGCAGTACACGACCACTAACTAAATCTAACTTATATTAATGATAAACTGATCACAGTGTACTGAAAGTTCACTCTAAGAACAGAAAGAAAATTACCACTTCATCGTTATGATTGCTGAATAACCCATTCGACGGCTCTCTCAAAACCATTAAGTAATGAAACTCTGCGGCAATTCAGCATCCACTTGGCGGGAAAGACTCGATTTCGGCATCGAAGGAAGTCACGTGCAATTAGCCCGTTATGGTCAGCCACTGATTTCCATGTGCGCCTGCGAGTACGTTCATCTTGAGGCTTATTGACCAGCAAGGACGCGCGAAGGAACTGGATAAACCTTCCACTGTGATCACGATACTCCACGAAAGATTGAAACGCTCTGGAGTAAGCAACGGCGGTATTCTTAGTATCCTCAAGAACTTTTTGGCGAAAGCTGTCACCCTTTGGCATGAAATGGGCACGTACCCTCACCTCTTCCCTTGCATCTGTAAACATAACCCAATTTAAAAACTCGGTGACAATAACAGAGGAAGGATTGCGTAAGTTTAGAAGTGGCTTATACGTATCGAGGATGCTGGGCAAGGGAACAAAGTCTGCGATGTTGGAGGTTGTCACACGGTCAAACCTGCGGCCTTGGGGAACAAACCTTGCAATCTCCATGCAGTTACACAACAGAAAGTGAAACTTTACTCGCCCAGCGGCCAGGTTCAAAGCGGATTTCTTGAGCACGTGTGTCACATACTCACTATACATTTTCAGGAGCGACACGGACTGACCCCACTGGCGGACTTCATTGTAGTCCCAGCCGGCAAATGGAAGGACAGATGACTGAATTAAGTAAGAGAAAGCGCCCTTGTTTCGGCTTAGTTGGAAATCGGAACCGGTGAGTGTAAAATTTTCTCGCAAGAGTTCTTTTCGTGATTCCTTAGGTAAAAGAATTCCGTTCGCAAACCAATCAGATGCCGATTCTTTATGTTTCTTAGGAATTTCTTTCAAATAGAGATCCATTCCCTCTTGTGCGTCAAAACTTGTAAATCGCTTGTTTCGAGCCTCTGTTATCCAGTCTCCTTGGCGTGAGCTGAGATCAAGCCAGGTACGCCACACTTCAACAAGCCTTTGAAAATGGCCCTGGTTCATCTTCATCGTTCCTTCTGTCAGTTCTTCAAGACTGGATGCCTCGACCAGCTCTTGCAACCTGGAAATCACAAGCCGATGGTCTTTGTCGCTGAGACGCAAAGAATACCACATCTGCGTCACTGAACTTGCAACCTCTTCCCCTCCTACGAAAAATTAACATATCCATTTGTTTCCATGCCTCATGTTTAAAACTACTGTAGGTAAATCAACATACCTTTAGGCCACCATAAACTCAGCTGAGTCAGGACAGGACTCTTTTTACCCTTAAGGGAGTGTTCATTATTTATAATTGGCGCAGGGGTTTAACCTCGTCCCCGGGATTTCTCCCTTAGAAAATGGAAAGTATGGGGGAAAGGGAGGTCATTCAAGTTTTGTTGTTGCCTAACAGACACTGAGGGGGTCATACAGATATTGAAAATAAAGGCATTACAAAAATGCCTCCCCCAAACTCCCTCCTCCGCCCCCCGCAATCATGAATACTGAACATTTTCGTTGGGACGGCCTTCATCACTTACCTTTATAAAGAAAGTATAGAATCAGAACAGTCCTGGCGAGTGTACAGGCGCAAATGTCGTTTAAAGTGAAGGTTATTTCCTCTTTATAAGCTTCAGGAAGACCACACAGAGAACGCACAATATTTCTTGGGTCTCCAACACCACAGGCAAGAACCGACAAAGGTTTGGAATAGTCACATCCCTCGTTCAATGAAAGATTGATGACGTCCGTGGCAGGGGTGTTCCCCCAGTAATATACAGTTCCCACCCCATGCGAGTTTGTGCTCTTCTTGAAATCGAAGATATCGTTTAACCGTTCAGACAATTCGCTAATCTTTGCTATAACTTGTCGGCAGAGATGCTTGTGCGTCGGCCAAGCTTTCTTCTGACATTCTTTATCACAGTACCACGCTTCACGACAGCCGCCGCACGATTTCAACCCAATCTTCTCTTGGTTACATCCAGAGCACTTCCGCTTCAAAGCAGCCGTCTGACAATCTACTTGATGCCGAAACTCATCACTGCCTTTGCACTTATCGCTACAATAACACGCTACACCGCATCTGCTGCAAAGGATCTTCGAAGTCGGAGTCGAACAAATAGCATCACAGCGCCAACACTGATCTCTTTTGAGCATAATACCCAATTACTTAAAACTTCTACCCTTAAACCAGAGCACTATGGACAATGGCCTAAACTGCAATTTAGTATAAATATATGTAAATGATGACATTTCCGGTTCTCAGAAACACAAAATGGTTTCCGAGAAATTTTAGTATACCTTAGGGGTGCAGTAGAACCTCTAGACCCCGTGACCTTTTTGAGTAAGCAGTGAAGCGGTTTCCCAACTAGGTGACATCTTCCTCTTGTACAAGCTCGCAAAATATTGTTGAGAAGTTAAACTAAGCAGATTTATCTACCTTCTTAGTTGGTAAAATGAATTTCAGAACACAGAATACTTAAGTAAGCTTCTCCACGCACTCCCTCCCCCTAGGACATTTAACATGAATTCTCGGAAAGCAAAATATTTCTAAGAATTAGAACAGTAAATTCCGGCCGGGGGGGGTACTGCCATATAGGTATGTGTCGCTGTGAANAACAGGTTCCTTAGGGTAGGGGGGATTGCGGGAGTTTATTCGAGGTAGGGGAAGGAAAATTTTGCTGAACTAGTACCGGTAAAGGTTACGGGGTCCAGGGGCCCCGCGGCACGGCCCCCCCCAGAAATTCCTAAAGACCCCCCCCCCCCCAACCGGGAAATTCTGTTTAGGGAAGTAGCGCGGCCAAGCGGTTAGCGCGCCACTCGGGGCCTCCAGATTTTACTTATTGAAATCTGAAGGCTCCGAGTTCAATTTCTGGACACCTTATCGATTGCTGGATTTGTTCTCGGTAATCCCCACTTTATCCCCTTGGTGACGCTTGTAAATAGCCAAATGGTTTGCCTCCAGCCCATTGGGATTCTTAACCTTGTGGGCCATAATTGGAACTTCTACAATCGGCGACAAAATTAAAATAAATAAATAAACTGATTTATTGCTACCTTTTGCAGTGAGAACTGAATTACAGGTAGGGTCAGAAATAACGGGAATCTAAGGTAATAAATAATACAAAATAAGTATGTAAGGCGCTTAGGAATCTAAATATATACTGTACTCAAATAGGGTAACTTCGGAGAACAAAAGAATCCGCACCCCTCCCCTGTCCCCTCCATTCAAAGTTCGGTTGTTTGTTGTTTTCTATAGGTAGCTAGAACAAGGGCAGAACATGGTACGGAGGGGATGGGGGAGGAAAGCTATATTTCCTCCTTTTGAAGTTAGTAAAACGTAAAAAAGCCCAGTTTTGGGCGAAGTGTCTCTACCCATTTTGTCGCCGATTGTAGGTTACCAGCAATTATGTTATCCCTTTTTTCACCATTTACACCCACATTAGTCCCATTTGCCCAAAATAGGGCCGTAAAAGCCGGACCCTGGTATCAAAGATGAGTTTGAACAAGTGAAACGCGAATTTCCAATTGGCACATTCCGAGCGGGAAACAAGGGTCCTTTACCGTTTACAAAAGGATTTCAGGAAATTCCGGCTAGAAAATAAATAGGGCTCGACTTTTCGCTTCTTTCCAATACAAAATTTCCAGGAGAATAAACGGAACTTTGGCAAAGATGGTCTTAAGACTAATTGCTTGGCATAAAATAACTTTGAAGACAAACTGACACACAGACGTGAATCGGGAATTAAATTTTATGAGTGCAAGACGGAAGTACAATATATATGCGTCATTGACCAAGCGTGAGAGTAGCCAATCAGAGCAAGAATATTCGCTTTATCGTTCCCTATTGAAAAGCAAGCCATAAAATAAACTGTGACTTAGAGTGCTGCTCGTGACTTTGACAAGAGCCGTTTCGTCCGTGCTATGATTTTGATGGTATGATGACTGAAACTCGGGATATAGTGAATGATGTTTCATATGGTTGGTGTAGTTTGGTGCAGGTTGGTGCGGACTGGTGTATTTCGCGGCAAACTACCGAACGGGAGGTGGCGGGTTCATACCCCGGCCAGACCAAGACTCAAGGTGATTTTTATGTGCTGCCTTTGGCGAATTTCAGTAAAGTAAGGTTGGTGTAGTTAGGGCAGTTTGGTTTAATTTCGTTCGGTTTGGTTTAGTTTGGTACACCAAACCTCACACACCAAACCACACAAAACTACACCGACGTTACGCCAAAACTATACCGTCTACACCAAACTACACCAACTAATAAACTTTATTTACCAAAGTACATTAACTATACCAAACGACACCAAGTACACCAAACTATAGCAACTACACTAGTCTACGTCAACAAAACTAACTACCACAACTACATCAATAAAACTAAACTACCCCAAGCACACCAAACTAACCCAATTACACCGGTCTGTATCAACTACACTAACTACTTCAGAGTGATATAGTTATAATATGGGTGAATCCACAAGCGCGCAAGATGAAGGGAATCCTGCGTATTGATTAGATTTTTTAACAGTCAAATAGGCCCATCTTGCCCGCGCGGGATTTTCCGCGTTGGCCCCGTAGAAACGTTTCCTTCTCAGCCATATAATAAATACCTTATTGACCAAGCTTGTTCGGTCAAGATGGCTGGATTCTGGCCTCGTGCGTTTTTCGGCTTGGTCAATAAATAACCAAAAGAACTTGGTCAATATCCAACAATCTTGACCTCACTCTTGATTCATAACGCATATTAACTGGACAAGAAATCCTTTTCATTGGAAACGGTTATCATGAGTCTTTTACGCAAGTTTCTTTCAGTTCTCGCCCGGCCTCCTTAGAGGTTCTCAGTGTATATATAACCGAACAGACAACATACCTGCATATTTTTCACTACCCTGCCACGCAGACTTTCTTAGGGCTTCGTCACGCTTCCTGCCTAGAAAATCGCACATTACAAAGGCTTCCCGTTGTTTCCTCGAATTAAAGAGCAAAATGGAAAGGTTCGTAGTTCTTTTAAGTAACTTTTCATAAATTCAACAGGTAAATAAAATTTTAATGTTTTGTTTATAACGAGTACAATGTAATCGGCGTGACAAGTCTTTTCCTTGGACAATCTATCAATCAATTCATCAAGAACTTAAGGTGTCTAGAGTTTTTACATTTCCATGAGCGAGTCTTATCGGGGAAATTCCATGCAACGCTGATTATGCTGTGATCAGTCTAATTTGTTTTACTCATTCAATCAGAAATAAGTTTCCATTCCAGTGCTCTCTCGTAGCCTCTCAACATGACAACTCGACGACAATTCACCGCCCATCTAAACGGAACCACTGTGTTCTCAATTCTGACAAAGTCACGTAAATACAGCCCCAGTGAATTCACGAGAGACTTCACGGATGGAATCTTCTTTTGTTTTTTAAACAAGGCTAGCTCGTTTTCTGTACAGGAGGCTAGCAGAGATGCGCGCAGTACTAGAAGGAATTCATCTGATAGGTTGATATATTCTACAACTGTGGTAAGTCCCGATTCCTCCACAAGTTCTGGATCTTGTGTATCTTTCAAATCTTTTCTTAAGAGATCGTCCAGTCCGTGATAATACGGCAATTGATGAACTATTTCAGGCATATAGTTACGCGGCCAGTTTTGTGTCTCAGTTAGTATGACGGCATGAGGATTGGTGCTGTTTAAAAGTCTTTTGAATTTTGTCAGCACATCCTTTAGGGGATAATAGTCCCACAAGTTAGAAGTCAATACGCGATCATATCTCAAACCTTCAGGTAAGAAGGTGTCGATGTTCAGAAAGTCGCACAGAATAAAATAAAACTTTACCTGACAACGGCTCATTTTGTCAGAGGATCTGTGCAGGATCTCTGACAAATATTTGGTGTACATTATCGGCAGTGATTTATCATAGCAAGTTTTCTCGGCTGCTTTGTAATCCCACGCCGTAAATGGAAGCACATCTGTAGGAATACTGTAGTAAAATTCAGAGGTTGATGAAAGTCGGTGTAAACCGCGACCCGTCAACGTAGGATTTTGTTGCGTTAATTCGTCAGACGTTTTGGTGGAAAGAAAGATGCCGGTGTCAAAGAAGTGTTGTGCAGACGCCCTGTGCACTTTGGGGATGGCATGCAGGTAATGGCTTAAACCATCTTCCCTACCTGAATCCGCCCTGATCGCCATTTTTCTGAGATCTTCTACCCAGGGTCCTCTCTGTTCTGACAAACAAAGCCACGTGGACCAAACGATCTTAAGCTGGCTCAGCTAGGAAGCAGAAATCTCCATCAAGCCATCGGTGAGGGTGCTCGGTTCAGCTGTAGCCGCAAGGTCTTGAAGTGCTAACGTCAGCAGTGTGAAGTCTTTTTTAGTTATGCGGACAGAGTACCAAATACGGACCACTGCAGAAGTGACGTCAGCTCCTCCTAAGACGGGTTAAAAGTAATTTTGAATACCTAATTTTAACTAGAGATGAAGATTTGCTGGTTAATATCGAGCACCAAGGCGGAATATTTCTCGCTAAAGGCTGGTGAAACATTTGTTTACCGTTTACGATGGTCTGTTCCAGCCTCCAAGATAGTAGTGCAGTCGTGCAGCAAAAAGTGATCCACCGTCCCCTTCCCTAGATCGCGCGCGTCTTATTTTTGCTTGGCTTGATTTATATTCGTGAGGACCCTACTATCTGAAAACCTGGCACAGGCTACGTTAACTCATGAAATTGCTTTAATTGTTGAGATAAACTTAGAGCTTGCTTGTAATGTGCAGACACTTTTCAGCTGTAGCCTATGAATACATCCCGGGGTAGCTAATCGAACGAAACCGAACCAAAAATCAATCGAACCCAATCAGTTGAATTGTTGTTCGATTGGTTCGGTAATCGAACATAATCGAACTGGGCCTTTTCGGTAAGCTCGATTAATCGAAATCGTGAGTTCGATAGCCGAACTCAATCAAACCAATCGAACTCAATCGACCCGATTAGTTCGATTTTGTTTGGCAGAAAGACAAAACGTAGCCAGTTTAAATTGAATCGGAAAGATCTCCCTGGTATGTATGTGAAGCCGTTTGAAAACAAAAATATTTCAATCAACCCGGAACTAAAATTCTTATTGTTACAGTGGTTCAAAATCGATAAATTCACACTCAAATCAATACTGGGAACATGAACGGCACAGAAAAAAACATGTGAAATGGGACTTTACCGACCGTGATGTCCTTAGGGATACCAGAAAAGTCAAACTTTCTTCCATAAAGTTTCGATAATTTAAAAAGGACCACTAAATATTTCATCGACACCGACGGCGAAAGAGCACTCGTGGTAGCTTTTAACCATCGCTTTCAGAATTATGCATTTCACGCTTTGCGTCCTCGGTGAATTCTTTGCTGTTTTGCGTACTCGTGTTTGAAATTGAAGCCAATACATACAACTTATTTGAACGCAACACCTTCTTTGAAACCAGATGAAACTTGTTTTATGTTCAATTGTTGCAGTGTTTGATTGCAAAATTTTGGGGTGAGTTCGATAAGTTCCATTACCGAACCCAATCGAAGTCAATCAAACGATTGGCGTTCAATCGGGGTTCGATTACCGAACGTTCGATTGCCGACGCCGGGATACATTCACCATCCCCTTAATGATCAATGAAGGTATCGTATAAATAAAAAAGGAATAAATGCGTAAATTCTCAAAAAAAAAAATGAATTAACTATTGTACGCAATGATGGAATTATACATTTCAAACGCTAAGCCACTTTGAAAAAATAACCCCGTATGGCACTTACAGCTGCACTTCGTGTTTGCGATAACGTGAAAATCACTTGATGCTGGTAAAGCAGTTAGAAAACTTTCGAAAATTTTCCCGTTACTGGAACCTTGCCATTGATGTCCTTGCGAACCACTTAAAAAAATAATCCGATACTGTGCTTCAGGATGTCCATACACGTAAGGAGGGGACTGTAGATGCAGCGTTTGGTCTCATTAACTCCTTTACCCACAACAAAAGGGCGCTTTCCATCTCACCGATTCAAGGTACACTACAGTCCCTTTTCACTGGATCTTAAAAAATTATCCTCACGAAAACAAAAATGTCAGATCAATAAATCAAGTGTTTTTAGAAAGGAAAGCTCCAAGTGAACCCCTTTTGAAGTTAAAAGCTTGAGGTACAAAAAAGGCTTCATGCCCAGTTAAATACCGTAAATGATCGATTAAGCGCCACTACGTATACTCGAATAAGTGCCGTAGCGCTAATTTGGGTATTTACAAATTAACGCGCCACCTTTGTTACAGCGCTTGATATAAGGAGATATCAAAACCATATCGCTTGAGAAATAAGACCTCGACCAACTCGTGAGTTCTAAAGTTTTAATATGTGGAAACTTTTCAAACCTGGTTTACATAACAATTCTAGGTGTACATATTTTATACTAAATTAAACATACCTATTACGTAGGCGCCCTATTTAATACTCTCTATATTCCCCTCAGTGTTTTACCTGTAGTTGAAATAAGCGCCGCACCTATAACAAAAAATGAAACGAAAAAATTAAATAAGCGCTGCAGCGCTTAATCGATCATTTACGGTATACCCTAAGCAACTTATATCTTGATAATTAAACATACCTTTATATAACATGTATAGAAGCAGAACGGTTCTGGCCAATGTGCAAGGACAGATGTCATTTAAAACAAAGCTGACTTGCTAGATATAAACATCAGGTAACGAAGCAGTTGTAAGTACAACATTCCTTGGATCACCAACTCCGCAAAGCAACAAAGCCAGTGAATTGGAATATTCTTCTCCTTCATTCATTGACAAATTGAGCAGGTCTACAGCTGGGATATTACCCCAGTAGTAAGTAGGTCCGAGGCCTGTGTTATCTTTTTTTCATCTCATGAAGCGCCTTCATTCTTTGTGCTAATTTCAATGTTTTGTCAACAGCATCGTGGCAGAACGTTTTGTGTCTTTTCCAGTCGCTTCTCTGACACTCCGTGCTGCAATAACAGGCTTTCAAACAGTTGGTACACTTCATCAGTCCCTCTTGTTCAATATCGCACGCTGAACATTGCAATTTCAACGCTGCTGTCTCGCATTCGGGTTGATGTCGCCACTTGTCTTGTTTCTGACATTCCTTGGAGCAGTAATACGCCACTCTGCATCGCGAACACTGTTGAGTACA